GGTCTCCAATTTCCCACAGCCGGAGTGTCTGACGGATCTCAGGTCCTTCCTCGGCCTGGTCCATCAGGTGGGAGCGTTCTCTCCAGACGTAGCGCGCGCTGCAGAGCCACTGCGTCAGCTCCTCCGTCCAAGGAACGCATGGCTGTGGACGGAAGAGCACACCAAGGCCTTCAACGAGGTCAAGACGGTGCTGGTAAAGCCGCCGGTTCTGGGTTTCTTCGACCCGAATAGGAGGACGGTCCTTGAGACAGACGCAGCACGCCTGAAAGGCCTCGGTTTTTGTCTCAGGCAGCAAGATGAAGCAGGAAACTGGCGCCTGATCCAGTGTGGATCACGCTTCCTGACAGACACAGAGACGAGGTACGCCGTGATCGAAGTCGAGATGTTGGCCATCGTCTGGGCCATGAAGAAGTACGTCATCTACCTGCAAGAGATGCAGAAGTTTGAAGTCGCCACCGATCACCGGCCACTCATCCCCATTCTGAACGGGAAGAGTTTAACAGGATGTTGCCAATGCTCACCTCCGTCGCCTGCGGGAGTGCCTGGCGCCCTACAACTGCGTGGCAGTATGGAGGCAGGGGAAGCTGCACGCCACTCCCGACGCCCTGTCGAGGCTCCCGGTCGAGGAGCCCACTGGAGATGACGAGACCACCGGAAAGGAGATCTCCTGCCAGCTCTCCAGCATGGTGATCCATGCTGTAACCAGCATCGACGGAGCTGGGACAGCTGTATCACCGTTCGAGGACACGGCGCTGTCGGCGATGCAAGCGGCTTCAGAGCGCAATCCTGAGATTTTGGCCCTCAAAGAAGCCGTGCTGTCTGGCTTCCCCGACCACAAGTCCAAAGTAGATCCGCAAGTTCGACCATACTGGAACATGCGGGATCGGCTGGCGGTAGACGGTGACCTGGTCATCTGCGGACAGCGGATCGTCGTCCCCAGCAGCCTGCGACGGGACGTTCTGCAGAAGCTGCATGCCAGCCATCAGGGGGAAGAAAGAACAAAAGGAAGAGCGAGACAGGTGGTCTACTGGCCAGGTATCGACCACGACATCTCCAACGTAGTGAAGACCTGTCAAGAGTGTCGGCTTCATCTCCCGAAGCAACAGAAAGAGCCGATCATCCAGATGTGTCTGCCAACAAGAGTCTTCGAAATCGTCTCATTGGATTTCTTTGAATATGGTGGTTGTACGTACCTGGTGTACGCCGACAGGCTGTCGGGGTGGCCCTGGGTCACTCACATGGGCCGGACAGCATCAGCACATCAGCTGACAACCAGTCTCCGGCAGGCATTCGCGTCGACTGGAGTGCCCAGTGTGCTCCTGAGCGACGGAGGATCCCAGTTCGCGGCCAAGAAGACCAGATACTTCCTGGCCAAGTGGGGTGTCAAGCACCAGCTGTCCTCGCCGCATTACCCTCAGGCGAATGGGCACCCGGAAGCAGCAGTGAAAGCCGTCAAGAGGCTCCTCATGAAGGTGACTGCCAGCGGTGACCTCGATACGGACGCATTCGCGGAGGGGCTGCTGGAACTTTGAAACTCTCCGAGAGCGGACGGACGATTGGCAGCTCAAGTGCTCCTCGGCCATCCGCTGAGGTCGATGGTCCCAGCTCACCACAGCTCCTTCGCCAAGTGCTGGCAAGAGCGTGCTGATGTGTGCGACCGGCGCGCAGCGGAACGGCGTCGCAGAGAGGCTGACTACTACGACGCTTCAGCACGTTCACATCGCCCTCTGCAGCTGGGTCAACACGTGTTGCTCCAAGACCCCCGCACCGACCTCTGGACAGCACCGGTGTCATCAGCGGAGTCAGCCAGCAGCGCCGCAGCTTCCTGATCCGCGCACCATCTGGACGCGTATACTGGCGGAACAGGCGCCTCCTGCGTCCGCTACGCCCGCTGATCTCGGAGGGCATCAAATCGCCAGCGGCTACACCAGCGTGTGAACCAACGAGTTCTGCCGCTGTGACAATGGCGCACCCGACGTCTGATGCACCAGCGTCCCTGGATGTGGGGCGGGCGCCGCCTGAAGCTGCAACAGAGCAGCCTGGGGCGCCGCAGACGTCACCTGAAACAACTCGGACGTCATCTGAGACGGCCCTATCGCTGCCTGAGACTACAACATCATCACCTGGAGCGGATCAGACGTCACCTGTAGCTGTGCAGGCGTCACCAGGACCTGCAGCGAACAGCGAGGCTCGCTCACACTCGGCACGCCCATCACAGCAGACCACAACCGCACCGTTGCGCCGAGGGGAGCGCAACAGGCGGAGGCCAGAGGGGCTGCAAGTGCGGTGGGGTACATGTACTTACCAAGAGTGATCGTCGCACTGTAGGTGATGTTATTGGATGCATTATTTTCCCGCCCGGGGAGGGGAGATGCGATGCAACTGTGCGTGTTGTTTTATTTTGTGAAGTGCATTATTTTGTTTTGCGTTTTTTGGCAGCAGTGCATCCTGTAATCCCAGAGGGGAGGTTGTCCACGTGGCGGCGCTAGCGCTGCCCCCGCCTGATTTGAGGCAATACAGTTCTAAGCACGGATCCGCCGTGTATGGACGCTCCACCGAGCCGTGTGCCGACAGGGCACGGACCGAGAACATAACAGACATACCGCACGGATGTATTTATTCAGGTGGGAATTCAAACTCCACACACGTACTCTTCATCGCCGACCCTCCGCTCACCCACCTCACAACCACCCCGCGAGCAGCGCGCCCGCGTACTCCGATCTCGGCAACTCGACGACAGCTGATTTAAGAGATGAAATATTTTTGCTGGAAATGAAATAGTTCTGAGTTACAGCCCGGGAGATAAAAACCCAACAGTGAGCGCAATCACGACAGCACTTGCTGTGAAAAACGTAATATTTTGATGTATTAGCACAGTATTTGTTACATAACATGAAGCTTCATACGACAAATTAAGTACAAAGCCGTCTCTATGGTTCACTCAACGCGCACAAACCTGTGTACTTAATCTTGACAGCGAATCATGGCCGCTGCCTGATATAATTAGTATATTTCATAGTTGGCTACAATATCACAATTGAAACCTCCAAAGATGGATCTTGTGGAAGGACAATTACTTATAATTTTTGATATACAGCTATATGTTGTTTCAACTTACCTGGAAGTTCCTTCGTTGTAGCCAATTCATCTAATCATGTGTAAAATCCAGTAAGAGCTAAAAATAGACCAAATAAACTATCCACCAAAGATCACGTGGAGTAGCTTGAACAAGTTGTGCGTTGTGAACCGGGCTAATGTGTCTATCCGTGAGATGCCTAAAGGCGTGAAAACGTTGTCTGCACGCGCTTTGGTCTGAGGTTGCATTGTGCATTCTTGAAAAAAATCATTTCAATCTATTGAAATACCTATTTCTACTCGATTGGCTCACAGACTGTTGGGTGTCGTTTTTATCTGCACGCGACACATGAGACAAATGGTGAGGTTTGCTTCAATTCGCTAAAAGCACAGGTGCGCTGCAGAGCGGATACGATATCTGTTAGTTTACTAATTATGCGGGTGGCCAAGTTCTAATTACATCGGTCGGTCTGATGGCTTGAAATCATCTAGGTACCTTCGCGGTCTAGAAAGTTTCCACACTAACAGATCTGCACACACATTGCATATAGGGACGTCACCAGAGTTTGAAGCCAGATGGGACCACCGATGCTCTGGGGGTCTCAAACTGGTGCGCGTGGTAAGCACCGACAAACTACAAAGTCGAAACGTTGCAACAATAGGATCGTCGTTAACGCCGTGGGTTTGGGAAGGATTCCAACAGGGGACCATGGATGACCTGGGCCCATGTGGGAGGATGGGGGTTTCCAGCCCCCATCCCGTATGGGCCTAATTAACTACACATTTGCTTACAACATGTGATCCTTAAAAGTTGACGCCCCAAATATTGTCATCGCAGGTGTAACAAAACCATAGATCATCAGCCTTGAGGCGAGAACAGATAATGCCTGACACTTATAAGACTGCATCGATGTCAGTGAGTGAATGTGATAAAGTGGTGACTGGTGGTAAACGGATGACGTTGATAAACGTTCAAAATTCAAAATTTGAACGTCTGTGGCCCTGATGCATGCAATGGGACTTAAGAACATTGCTCTTCGAACCATCCTAATTCGGTGTTGGACATTTTACCTGATCACGCTCTGGCGTAACGTATCTGAAAGCGATTTTGGAGACCCACCATGATTGGTGTGATATGATTGTTTCCATAATCGTTCAAGCACGGCATGGATATCCTTGCCTGTCGTTCCAACGATGGCATGGTATGGTACAGCTGTGTTGCCAAATGTAGTGACTGGTAACTGCCTCCGAATTTGGTAAGAAATAAGCATGCACTAATGCTAGCAATTCACGTGCCAACACCTGGTCGAAGTACTTCAACAGGTATTTTGCTGTGACACAACTTTGGGATTCACTCAGTGTTATGTTGAGCCTTGTGGGTGTGAGGTATCCTGGTCAATTAGCGCAAGGATTTTAATCACTTCAACGGTTCATGCATACTTTTTATGTGAGCCATTATAATGCCTTATGTGCTGGTCATTACACCCCCAATCAATTCACGAAGTTGGGAGACAACGGCAAAGGATTCCGCAGGATGCGCTGGAATCAACGCCTCTGTGATGAAGAAAACAACGGTAATTCAAGAGCAAAGGGCGCAATTTTCAAAAATATCGACAATAATTGACCCTCGTTATGTTATGCAAGACTGAGTAAGTGACGTTATCCAGCACGTATTGGCAATGCTGACAAAGTCTAAACACTAAGTTTTGTCAACACGGTCACTATCTGATAGCATCGTTTGACGGGTACCTCCTGGTAAAGTGAGGGCAGATTATTGTCAGAATCAGAATCCTGGACTCAAATGCAGGAAACAAACAAACAAAAAGAAACAGAAAACGCGCAGAAGCTCAATGTCTTCCTCATAGCTTTGCATGCAGTCCGACTGAGCAGCTGAAAATAAACTGCTAAGCTGGGCGGTGACTAACCTGCTGTGGAGCATTGATGACGCCTGTGTTGTAGCCAAACTGGAACATGCCGAGCACGGCCGAAAAGATGGTGGACACTAGGAAACAGGTGAGACCCTGCAACAGCAGACCAGGCCCTCAACCACCAGCACATGAGGGGTGTATGGCAGACCGCGGGCAGCAGAGTTCGCGGTGCCAGCCATCCGTCAGCAGCGCTGCAGAGGGTGCCAAGCACAGGCCGTCGGCAGCGCTGCAGAGGGTGCCAAGCACAGTCCGTCAGCAGCGCTGCAGAGAGTGACGAGCACAGTCCGTCAGCAGCGCTGCAGAGAGTGACGAGCACAGCGCGTCAGCGTCGCCATCGCTGCTGCCGAGCCTCCAGATTTGGTGACTGTCACCGAAGCGGTTGATCGCCGCTGTGTCTTGGAGCAGATGAACCTACAGACCAGGCCCACGGTGGACCAGACCAGACCTCACAGACCAGGCTCGGGTCGGACCCACAGACTAGGCCCAGGAGGGACCAAACCATATCCCACAGACCAGGTCCGGGGTGGACCAGACCGGACCCCACAGACTAGGCCCGGATGAACCAATCCAGACCCCACAAACCTGGCCCCGGGCTGAACCAGGCCCCAGGGGAGACAGCGCTTCGGGATGACGCATTGCGTGAGACGCATATGTCACCGGGATGGCGGGTGGCGGGATAGGCCTGGACGCCTCGCGGGTGTCAGGGCCGGTTGGGACGACAGCCACCCGGATGCAGAGCGTTCAACAGGCGCCAGGGCGCAGTGATTGCCAGTGATCGAGTGACGCCGAGTCCCGGGGTTACCCGTGTCCGGGAATCACCGGAGCCCGTGCGGGTGTGTCAGGTCCGTGATTACTCCCGATCTGTCAGTGCCGACGGTACGGTGACAGGCTATCGAATCAGAGCGGTGAGCGCCTGGACCTCGCAGATGCCAGCAGCGATACGCTCCCGGCTGCCGCCAGAGCCCATGCAGAACGATCGTTCTCGATAAATCGAATGGGAAAGGCACGCGTGGTCACCACCCATGGCACGCGATACGCTCTGCATGCAGCAGAAGCTTTGCAGAACTGGCCACACGGCTTGCGGGAGGTTTATCGAATGTCCTGTTGTCTAAGCTTTGTCGGAATGATTCAGGAAACGGCATGTGGAGTGAAAACATTCCAAAGAAGACGTGACGATTATAGCACCATTGTTGGTGTGTAATGCAATCTGACATTAGTTATCAATACTTATTTGTTAGCATTCTGTTTGTGTTCTACGCCAGACGAAATTTTGAGCATTGACAATTCAGTAAAACTTTACTTGATAGCGTCGTGTAGCCAATACTTCCTGGTATATCCGAGGTCAATAACACTCAACATAGGTGATATGAACTCATAATGCCGAACAGCCAAGACCTCGAGACCTTTCTTACATCTAATTAACGCTAGGCAGGGACACCTCCACCAACTCTTGCAAGATTTTCAGCCTAATGCGGCGTTTCAGAAAGCTATTTAAGGTAGTGTACACAAATCCATCATGGCTAGCTCAAGGCTTCGTCCCCCAGCAGCGCGGTTATGCTTGGAAGCTCGCCACGCCCATGCGCGCACCCAGCAATTCACGGCTGTTCAGGCTCATTCCAGTGCTGTGTCATCCGTGAACACTGCGAAGCGACCGACACGTTATGAAATTCCCTACTGATGGACGCTAGACAGAGCTTATGTCACATACAGTGTATGGGTTGTTCAGCGTATTACAGTCAACGGCTAGATTCTGGGCATTTAATGGATCTGTTGGTGCATTTGGCAGCAAATGGCTTTAAGCCCGCGGACAAATGCAACATCCTCTCTTCGGAATAGGCTTCGGTGCTAGTTTTCAGTAGCCTAATAAAACTCTTCATATGTGACGTCAATTTTTTGTTTTTTGTTTATATAAATAGGCTCTATATAGGCTCTAAATATAATATGTATATGCATATCATAATATAAATATAATACAAGCAATATAATAATAAAATAATAATAAATAATCAAAATATAAATATAATAGGCTCTAAATAACTAAAAAGGTTTATATAAATAGGCTCAAGTTTTTTGGCGAAAACTTGAGCCTATTTATATCATGAGCACTAGCGACCCTCCGTATTTTTTCAGCTAGATTCTAAACTGTTAGCACGTTGAAAATTGGTCGCTGTTCGTAAAATAAAAATTAGCGCGACCTTTTGAAGCATGCGATTTCCGTAAACCATTCAGAGGCGAGCTGAGGAACACTTTTAGGGAGACATGTCAGAATGCATTCCGTGCTTATGTTTCAACGCAAATGTGCCGTCTAGCTTTTTTGTAACCCGGCCGAAGTTTGATTGCAGTGATCGATCATTGGTTCTGTTGCATCATGCTAATCGCATTTAGGTGATGCGAGATGCATGCAAGCTACTACGAGCCAATCCAAGAACAACAAAAAGCGATATTCGGGCACTTTGTTGTCCGTATGTGCTATGCTCAAATACTTTTAAAATAACTT